TATCTTTATGTGAGAAAATCCAAAACAAAGGGAGATCAATAACCTCGGGACTTGATTAACGCATCTAATTGGTCGGATGTGAGTGAAAATTTAAAAACGTACGTTTTCATGTGCCTGGCCTTTACTTCGTAGATACTGGATTTGTAGTTTATTATTATGTATTTTAATATTTTTTGGGACAGGGGCAACAGGTTACACACATTTATTTGGTTTTAAATTGGTTCTAGGTATTTTTTACGTATTTTTAAAGTCTCGAAATTCACGACCATGACCCCTAGGGTACATTTCCCAACTTTCACGCTGTTTTTAGACTATTCATGCCGAAATATATAAAGCCATATTTTTATGTCATCAGTTATTAAACTTACAAAAAAGGAGCATATTATAATTTTAATGTCATTGCAAACTGACTACCATGACAAAATAAGTCTGTCCCTCGATTTGGCGTCAAGACCATTTGGGAAAAATTTTCAACTTTGGAGCACGACATTGGTAAGCCTGGCGTCGATTGCGTCAGTTCGTTTTAGAGACTAGTTCGGGGTGTACGTCAAGTTTGTTGTGTCGGTCGTTTTGTGTTGAAAGAAGTAGTTACATGATTAATAAAGGTAAGTTTGTGTTTTTTGTAATTTTGGAGTGTCCATGACCGTACGTAGTCATTTGATGAAGTAGACGTGGTGTTAATTTTTGTTGATATGATATTTCAATTGCTACATTAACCTAGAAGTCCACTTTGTATCCTCGAACATGAGGTGCAGGGCTACCGCCAGAACAGAGTCAAATAACACGTAATGTCATGACCATCGCAGGTTTTTTCACGACCAATCCAGCGTTATGGATTATACTGTGTTTGGTCGTGACAATAACTTAAATATCATTGTAAATTGAACAGTTTAATTCAATTGAAACACATATTTTTATTATAACTAACAGTATAATTGAAGGATTGTTTAGAAAGATTTAGAATATTCCAGATAATTCACGACCGTACCGCTTGTCCCTGGCCATCACGTTGATGATTTCTATCATAGAAATTTCAAAAATTAAATTATCATCATATTTCAATGTTTTATACACAAAAGAAGCACTCCTCTATAAAAACATAACGATTTTTTGGGTCTCAGGTAAGTTTTTTCGGAGTTATACAAACTTAAAAGATTTTTTTGGCTTTTTTTCATTTTTTTCTAGAAAGACCAAATATACCAAAAGCTTAGTGAGCTGTTTATTGTATAAAGGCCATACAAGTAAATTAATTTATAGCAAAACATAGCTATAAAAATAATATTAAGTATTTTTATTATTTAGTTTTACGTCCGTGATGGTCGTGACAAAATTTTGTGTTTTTCCATCAAAGATAAAATTTTAAAAGTGCTTTTCCTGAAAACGTACGTTTTTAAATTTTTACTCATGTACTAAAATTCTTACTGTAAACGTGGGTTTTTGGTACTATTTCTTTTCCTTAGAACCGGTGGTAGCAGCAAGAATCATTTTTACGTACCAACACATCACTATTTACAAATTTTCTATCGTTGGTGCTGCACCTTATTTATTACAGTTGTATTAAATTTAATTGATGTCTTACTGTATAAGTTTTGCGTATTCTGTATGGATTCCAAAATGTTAGTTTATGCTAAGAAAACGATAACGCATTTGGGTAACATTTGTTGACATGAGTTGAGTAACAATCATGAATTGTTTACACTTTACGTTGTTTATGTATTTAATAGTTTGTGGCCTGTGTATTGTAAATTACAAATCTAAATCGTCTTTTAGTACTTCATTTCATATAGAAATGCCGTTATTTCAACACAATTTCGGGTCATGTTCGGATTAAGCAAAAAATATCAATTAATTGTTATGATTAAATGTGATGAAACTAACAAAGATTTCAAATACTTATTTCATATGTACTTTGCTATGGTTAAATCGTAGCAAATTCCCTAATTAAATGCTGAGTTTTTTTGTGTATGCTTGTTGGTAACGCTATTTCTCAGTGTTACACAGAAAAGACAAGAGCACCTTTGTTTAATTTTACCTTTGTTTAATGATGACCTTTGTTGAGAATAAAGTGTTCAATGGTGAAGTTGAGGTAGTATTTTAACTACTTTAATCAGTGTGGAGGGTAACTTTCACATATAGGCCTACCTTAGGGCAGTGCCTCTTTGATCTATAAAGAATGTTTTTAGTTTAATCATTGGATATAACATATAGACCAACACGATTCGGGTGACATTATTCATTGCCAAGCATTTGTTTTTGCTATAAACTGTCAGATATTGTATTTGCGAAGGTTTATATGTCCTATAATAGTTTTGCCAGCATATCTGGAAATATGCAAACCAACTGCTGTTCTGAATATAGAAGGTTTCAACTGACCACAATATCCCTATAGCATCTCCCGATCCTCATCAGTAACTGGCGAGAACCTCTTGTGCGAAGGAGTGGGTGGTGTGACGTCACTCTACTCTTGAGGGAACACCATTACCGTAACGAGACACTTAGGTTCCATCGGTGTTCGTGGCGTAGTTGATAGCGTCTCAGACTGGTAATCGAAGGGCCTCCGGTTCGAAACTCACCAGCGACACAAACTTTTTGTCCAAGATTATGCTTATTTTTTTACTTTTAACTTTATTTTTTAAGAACTTTTTTTTTTAATTTGTAAAGCTTCATTCGATTTTAATTTTTATATTATCAGCAAGTTTGGTTAGTTTGGTTAGGTTATGACAGTTAAATTTTTTAATAAAAAAAATTAAAATTTATTTTATACAATAGTTGAAAATTATAAGTATACCTTCATTCGATTTTAGCGAATTTCCCATATAGGGAATAAGCTATTACCGTAGTACTCATGGTAAGACCTGGACCCGGGACCGATATAATTTTTCATTTTGAGGTCCCTAGAGGCCAAAAACACCATCCGTTCAAATTCATATATATGTATATATATTTATTTATATATATATATGTGTCCGTTAGCGCGATAACTCGAGCAAAAATGATCCGATCTTGATGAAATTTGGTACAAACGTGTAAACCTACGTTTATTCGAACGAGTTCGCGAACCAGCAAAAATGGGTTTTTCCCATTTTTTACCCTAAAAACAAAAAGTTTGGCAATTTCTTTTTAAACCGTTTTGTAGAGCTTAAAAAAAGAAATAATTTAGTATATTGAAGCGCTGTTGTATGCCTAACGGTCACGGAGAAAATTTAAAAATAGTGTAATTTTAAATTCCCATGTTATTCTTATGGAGAAAATTAAAACTGTTGTAGTTTACATGTTTATGGATATATGTTGATAAAATTTGGCAAATTTATTTATTTCATCCTATATTATTGACGTATGGTCAAAAAACACTTTTTACCTTCCCCGTAGCAGCAAACCTAAGCACTCGTTAAATCTAATCCTATACTCTAATACGAGCAATGTTTGCTTGTATGTATGCTTGCTTGCTTGCTTGCTTGCTTGCAGAAAGATCTCGAAAACGGCTCCGACGATTTTCTTCAAATCTTGTAAATAGTTTATTTTTGGCCTAAAAACAAGTTTCATGCAGTTAGAACTGCCAACAAAAATCTAATTACGTAGAAAAACGAAACTGAAAGTCACATTTTTTTAACATTAGTCTTATGGGTTGCTAAGTAACCATGTTGGTTGAATTAAATAACAAGGAAAAGGTAAACAAAAGACTTGAAGTTGTAGCATTGTAGCACGTGTTCATAATAAACCAACTACCCACAGTATACTAGCAAATTACAAATACAGTACAAAAGGAAAAACATCACTTGTTAATATTGAGCAAAGATTATACTTAAGATTACTCGAGACATTGTAGTCAAGGGTAGCAGTGCGAAGTCTAGGATCTGTTTATGACGAATACATTAAGGTATCTGCAATCCTAAAATGCTATGGGAAGGGAAGGAAACAGGTACGTGACGTAGGCAGTAGTGAAGGAAGTAGTAAAGGCAATCATAAAATGCTATGGGAATAGAGGGAAACAGGTCCGTGACGTAGGAAGTGATGAAGGAAGTAGTAAATGCGAGCAGTCCGGAGTGTGGGGACTGTTTATGACGATAAGATTAGGGTATCTGCAATCCTAAAATGCTATGGGAAGGGAGGGAAACAGGTCCGTGACGTAGGAAGTGGTGAAGGAAGTAGTAAAGGCGATTAGTATGGAGTGTGGGAACTGTTTATGACGATTAGATTAACGTATCTGCAATTCTGAAATGCTATGGGAAGGGAGAAAAACAGGTCCGCTACGTTGGAAGTGGTGAAGGAAGTAGTCAAGGCGAGCTGTCCGGAGTGTGGGAACTGTTAATAACGATTAGATTAAGGTATCTACAATCTTAAAGTGCTATGGGAATGGAGGGAAACAGGTCCATGACGTAGGAAATGGTGTAGGACGTTGTAAAGGCGAGCCGTGTGGAGTTTGGGAACAGATTTATGTATCTCCGATACTAAGACTGCTTTCAGAGTGAACTAACGATTTTCTCCGAGCAAAGCTCGGTCCCCAGGTACTGTTATTTAAATTGGCAATAAATATGTCTTATTCATGGAAATATTTTAGTAATAATGTAATCAGACAAGTTGAAATTAGCTTAGTCTGCAGGTTTGCTGTGGCGGGGGTATTTATCTTAACTTATATCTTCTTTTATATTATCAGCAAGTTTGTTGGTTAGGTTAGGTTATGAAGGTTATTTAATAATAAAAAAATTTAAGTTAAAATTAATTTTATAGTTAAAAATTTAAGTTAAAATAATTTTATTTTTAAAAATTATTTTATAATTATAAAGTTAATTTTTCTAACTAAAAAATTATAAAATAAGATTTTCTTAAATTGGCGTGAGGGGCTCTCCCACAATCCCCCACTCCTTCGCACAAGAGGTTCTCACCAGTTACTGAAGAGGAAGGGGAGATGCTACTACAATATCCCCTTGTGTAGAACGGGCACACAGCTAGTAAATACTAAAGGCACAACCAGAGAGCACAATAGAAAGCACAACACTTACCTTAACATACACAAGGTTTTAGATATTGCATCTGCTTGCAAATATTTTTGAAATTCTTTTATCTCTCTGCATCCGTCCTTGATTGAGATCAAAAATTTGCCCAAGGTTTTAAACTTATTCCCTGCAAGATTGAGAAACCATTCAAATGAATAGGCCTACCTCTGTATGAGCAAACCTGAAGACCAGCTCTATTAACACATAACCTGATTCCCTAGATGATCTCAATTTGACTATGTTAATATGAATTATATGTATCATTATACTTAAGCTGAGTTTCTAGAAGAGATAGAGAAACTAAGAGCTTATTTTGCATCCTTTAACACCTATATTATTCTTTACCGTAACCTTTTACAGTTTTATGTTTAAGAAACATTACCTATACAAATGTGGGTACATAATTATATTTCTTGAACTTGTGATATCTTTATCACTGATATTGTTGTTGTCACACTAAGTACTCTACGTCACCCTGACGTATTACACTGTACGGTAATCGGGAAGTTATTAAGAACTACGATTGACACTATAAACTGCTAACGACCAAATGGGCCGGAGTTACTCCGGATGGAAGCTGGAACTGAGGTCTCGAGGTGTCGGTTAGCATAAATGTATGTTTATGTTAATGTATAGGTGCACGCTCATTCTTCCCGTGTCCCCACACGAAACGAAGGTAGCCTAGTTAATGAGGCTGAGCTGGTTGGTAAGGTGACCAGACTACACCGTAGTACCATTGACTATGTCTAGTTGTATTGATAGTCAAAGGTAGTACTCTAGGTTGGCGCACAAAGAACTACACTGGATCGAGCAGGCATGCATGCTCAATGCTCAAACAGTGTCTTGCAGAGCAGGATATCATTTTGAGCATGCCTGAGGCCTTGGTGCAGACGTGGTGAATGTGTGGTCATAACTGAAATGACAATTAAGTCAACAAAACACCATGGCATGGCCTCTGTTGTTGGTTAGACGTCCGGAAAAGGCTGCCATATAGGAAATATTCAGTATTCAGAGAATTTTGTTTTATGCTAAAATTGATCAACTTATTCTTGGTGGGATTAACATCATATTATGTTTGGACTTGGGACAAAACTTAGCTGAGAACATCATTATCAGCAAACTAAAGAAAGGGGATTTTGACAACTCTCTTTATGTCATTGATTAATATGGAGATCAGAAAATATCAAATTTTTTATGTTTTCAAGTTAATTTAGAAAGAAATCCATATTCGCCCCATAAAGCCACATAAAAGCCAGTTCACACGATCTAATTAAAACCTGATGAGGGAGTGTTTATTGTATTCAACCAAGTTACATTAATAGGGTTTACCTTAGCCGCATTAGAACTACATCGTAATCTGTATTGGAATTGGTTTCCGTATAGCTTGAATAATTCTTGAGATATAAATTGTTTTGTAAAAAATACAAAATGGCGGCTAGCTGCTAAACGAAAATTTTTTTGACCTATATATGTTTATATGAACTTTTTTGTTTGAATTTATTAGTACTATCAGCAGCTGAAGATTGTGACACCCCTTTATAAACACCCTGTATAAACATTTTACAGAACAGACATCACAGAATTGAAAGCAGAACTGGAAATTTGACTGTCGTTTAAAGAAATAAACTTCTGACACAGATATGATATGAATAGAGTATGAGTGACATATACTATACACATACATTTTTCATCCCAGATAAAGTTACAAAAAGACTACATGGTAATCTCCGATATACATTCCTTCTTACTTACGATATTCGCTCATATCCTTTAAAATGGTCTTTTCTTTCTCGATTTTTCTTGCTAGAGATAAATTTATACCCTCTACTTGTTCTCTTAGGTACACACATTGAGCTTGTTCTAAAACATAAAAAAATTAATGATTTCAAAGGTATGTTTTAAGCTTTTTTTTATTTAACACAGTTCATTAATTTCTTCAAATAAATCTGTGTAATAAGGTGATAATAGCTAAACTATCTGATGTAAGTATTATGTAAGAATCATTTTGTTACTGTTTTGGAAAGAATTGTGATTTTTGTTTTGGGTAGCAGATTTTTATCCCCCTGGAACTTTACCCCCTGGGCGAACATGACGTCACAAACCATGGGGCAAATTTCCGGCTGCGAACTTTTGAGTTCTGGACATCAGTTCGATGGATTAAAGGCAAAATTAAATGTATATTTTCACGGTTGTGAACTTAATCAGAACACATCAAATTATAAAAACCTAGAGTGTAGGGGCCGGAATTTTATCCCCGGACTTTTACCCCCTTCATGAGGTCAACTCAAAATTTACGGCCCGGATTTTTACCCCCCGGATTTTTACCCCCGGAATTTCATCCCCCGGATTTTTACCCCCAGAATTTTACACCCTGGCCAGATATATAAATTAGTGAGAATGGTTAATTATCTTCATTCAGTTTTAATTTAATAGTATTGTATTATTAAGTAGCCTATCTGAATTTATTCGTAACATCAACTAATCGAAGAGGTTTTTAATTTTAAGATTCGAGTATCAGGATTCGATCTTTGAAGCCAACTGTTGGTTAATATGACGTATAAACAAACATCAGATTGGTAATTGATTCAAAAATTTCTTTAACGATTTATTATAAGACCGTGGTAAAACAATGTTTTTCGTTCGTATTGTAATAATAATAAAATATGCCTTATTGTTTCTTTACTAAGAAATGTTCACCCAATTATCATTTAAATGAGCTACTCAGTTTATTTTACATACTTATTAACCAACAGTTGGCCCCAAACGCAAATCCCAAACATCAAAATTAAACAGCGAATTCTGTTTACTTAGTTGAGATTACAAAATAAATAAATAAAGACGAGCTGTTGGCCCGTCCTACGTACGGGATTGAGAAGTCAACAAAAACTGAAATTATATTAATATTTCCATGTCTAATCCAAGCAAAGTTCAAGCAGTTAACCATTTCCTGAAAACAAAAAGCTGCCAAGATGAACTAAAACATGTACACATTTTCCTATTCTTTCCTCAAAAAGTCGAACAGAAAAATAATTTGCATAATTTTTCCTTTGAATACTCGGGGGCAGAGCCTCGATTTGTATACATCAGTCGTTATAGAATCTTGAATCTTACTTATTTTCTATATTCAATGCCAACATCACAGAATAATAAACTAACCTGTTAGTTTGAAAGACAACTTTTATATTCAACCAGGGGCCCATTTCATAATAAACTATACAAGTTACAAGTTACAACTTGTAACTTGTAATTTCTATTAGATTTGCATTGGGCGATCAGCTGATTTACTAATAATATTAGTTTGTACTTTATTATGAAATGGGCCCCTCAGCTGTTAGTTAAAACAAATTATATTGCACTAAAACAAACTTAAAATTTTAAAGATTGCTCTAAAAAATAAATTAGAACATCTATCATTAAACCATGAATATTTAAATAGTCTGTCATCCTTTTACCCATAAAATGGACGTACAATGAGCATAGCATTACACATAGTATAAATAAGTCAACCCCAAGCATGTAATTATTATCCAAATGCTGAATTTGTGACACAAAAGCTGAATGTTTACAGCTGTTATGTTAAGCAAATTATTTTATGCCAAAAGCTAGTTTAGAATCTTAGCGTCGGCTGCTAGACTTTTTAAAAATTAAAACTTAATTTTTAAAAAACTGGGACCCTAAACTAAAATTATGGCTTCGACATTCCCTAGTTCACAAAATTATCTTTCTTTCAACACAAAAATCATGAAAATCCGTCGAGTGGTTGATTCAGAATCGTGAAATAAAAAAACACTGTTTCGTTTTAATATTATAGATATGCTACTTAATAATAAAATGTTTACAATTAAACAAAAACAGAAATAGGAAAATCAATCATTCTTAATCTATATAAATAAAATTAGAGTTTTGTCTGTACATTGCTTAGAATAATGAACTTTTTGGTTATTTTTACATTTCATAGGTCAGAGAAACCGAATCAAACCTTATCTCAATTTCTGTCTGTCTGTCTGTCTGTCTGTCTGTCTGTCTATCTGTCATTCTCTTGGTAACGCTAAAATACGCACTTTATTACAACTACTCCTCAATAACTATAGCACTGTCCCGCCTGAAACTTATTTTCCAAATACTATACATATATGAGATGGTTTTAGACGTATTTCATCGAATATGAGACAGTTAGATATTTAACAGTAAACCCTTGAAAATCAAGTTTTTGTCGATTTTTGACGTGGAATTTCTGGAAGCCCATGTTAACCTTATGAGAAATGAAATTATTGAATCTTAACAGCTGTTTCAATTAAACAAGTTGGTTCTGTTCTGTGATGTTCAATAGCATTAAAGTTACAAGGATTACCAACAGGGTGCAGCACTAGCACTATTATTTCTTTTACATTTATGACAACAGCTAATTTGCAACCTGGAGGCGAGTGAGCGTAGCGAACGAGCTAACCTGAAGGCAAGTGAGCGTAGCGAACGAGCTAACCTGAAGGAAAGTGAGCGCAGCGAACGAGCTCCAACATACAGGTGAGTGAGCGTAGCGAACGAACTTCAACCAGGACGTGATTGAGCCATGCAAACGAGATCAGATAGTAAAAATAAAAGTAAGCCTACCGTTATAGGATCGACCGGCAGACACAGAGGTAATTTAACCTTTTATTGATTGTCATACCGATCCGGAACAACAAAAAACAACATAAAATGAAGCTATGTATAATAGTTTGGCCAGCATATCTTAAAATATGCAAACCAACTGCTGTTCGTTATATAAGAAGGTTTCAACTGAATATTATAAGATCCCCGTGCGTAGAACGGGTACACAGCTAGTAATTTCTATATCCGGCCAGGGGGTAAATATCCGGGTGTAAAATTCCGGGGGGTAAAAATCTGGGGTAAAAATTCGGCCCGTACATCTTCAGTTGTCTAAACACTAGTTATATGGACAGGGGGTAAAATTCAGCTTTTTATTGCTAATCTAATTAATCACGCTCTGTCTATTTTCATTAGACTTCCAAATCAGCGAGGGTAAAATTCCGCCCGCGAACAAACTTTTGAGCGCTCAGGTTACTACGTCATAGTGACGTCAGCTTTGCCCAGGGGGTAAAATTCCAGGGGGATAAAATTCCAGCGACCCTTTGTTTTGTATTATCATAAATAGAGAAAACTCAATTTTTTAAATTTGTTAATCCAATTTCTGTATTGTATGATAAAAAACTGATTCATGTTTTAAATTAATGTTAATGAAACTGTTCTATAAAAAAAAAAATTATGGAGTTTGAACAGAAAGTCAGATCCATATATAAATCCCAAAGTACCCATGAACTTTTAAGAAAACTTAAAGTCACACCCCATAAACAATATACTTAATAATTTATAAATAAAAATACTTTTTAAAAATGCCACGTTTTTAAACACACTAAAAAGTAGAAAATAATTTATAAATATGTGGAGAGAACAAATGCTTGTAAGATTTAAAACGAATATCGTTGGGCGCATGCTAATTTACAATTACCTTCACCTATTGAACTATTATTATCTATTTCTTTTTAATTCGTTTAAAAACGTGGCATTTTTAAAAAGTATTTTTATTTATAAATTATTAAGTATATGAAGATTCTGAACATAAGACGTCGACTCTTATGCATTTCGTAATACAAAAGCTCCTCCTAGATGGCTGAATCAATCGTTTTCAAATTTTGCATGGTGATACTCACCATGTCGGTGAGTGCCAACATCTATATGGTATTAAAAAAGTCTCTCAGGAATTCGCCCCACTGGGTCTCAAAGTTTCAATGTAATCCTTATGGAATCAGTATTTGACACATAAACAAAGACATATGATCAGCTGTTGACTTTTGAATGCAGTAGATAAAGAAATAGCTGATAGCATTATTCCACAGATATAAGAACAGAAACGGTATGGATCATAATTATAATCAAATGACGACACTAGCTTGAGGTCCATGACATAGGAAGTGGTGAAGGAAGTATTAAAGGTGAGTCCGGAGTGTGGGAACTGTTTTTGACGATTAGGATAAGGTATCTGCAATCCTAAAATGCTATTGGAAGGGAAGGAAACGGGTCCGCGATGTAGGAAGTGGTGGAAGTAGTAAAGGCGAGCTGTTCGGGGTATGGGATCTGTTTATGACCATTAGATTAAGGTATTTGCAATCCTATGATGCTATGGGAAGGGAGGGAAAAAGGTCTGTGACGTAACAAGTGGTGAAGGAAGTAGTAAATGCAAGCAGTCGGACTGTGGGAACTGTTTGTGACGATTAGATTAAGGTATCTGCAATCCTAAAATGGTATGGGAAGGGAGGAAAACAGGTCCGCGAAGTAGGAAGTGGTGAAGGAATTAGTAAAGGTGAGCATCTGGAGTGTGGAAACTGTTTATGACGATTAGATTGAGGTATCTGCATTCCTAAAGTTCTATGGGAAGGGAGGAAAACAGGTCCCCGACGTAGGAAGTGGTGAAGGAAGTAGTCAAGGTGAGCTGTCCGAAGTGTGGGAACTGTTTATGACGATTAGATTAAGGTATCTGCAATCCTAAAATGCTATTGGAAGGGAAGGAAACAGGTCCGCCACATAGGAAGTGGTGAAGGAAATAGTAAAGGCGAGCTGTTCGAGGTATGGGATCTGTTTATGACCATTAGATTAAGGTATTTGCAATCCTATGATGCTATGGGAAGGGAAGGGAAACAGGTCCATGACGTAGGAAGTGGTGAAGGAAGTAGTAAAGGCAAGCAGTCTGGACTGAGGGAACTGTTTGTGACGATTAGATTAAGGTATCTGCAATCCTAAAATGCTATGGGAAGGGAGGAAAACAGGTCCGCGACGTAGGAAGTGGTGAAGGAAGTAGTCAAGGC